TACTACTACTACTACTACTACTACTACTACTACTACTACTACTACTACCACTACTACTACTACTACTACTACAGTAGCTTTTAGTGGGCAGCTACGTAGTAGGCAATGGATAGAGCTCTGGGTTTGGAATCAGGAAGACTCATCTTCCTGAGTTCAAATCCGGCCTCAGACATTTACTAGCTGTGTGATCCCGGGCAAGTCACTTAACCTTGTTTGCCTCAGTTTCCTCATCTATAAAATGAGTTGGAGAAGGAAATGGCAAACCACCCCAGTATCTTTGCCAAGAAAACCCCAAATGGGGTCATGAAGAGTCTGAAATAACACACCAATACCAGCTTTTTTTGAGCCCCCTCCTCCCACCCCAAATTATGAGAGTCATTAATGCCTGGAAAAAACCCAGTGTCCTACTGGGTCCCAGAGTCCCAAAATCTTACTTCTGGACCTTACAGATCATCTAATCTGAACTTTTCCCTAAATAGCCCAGTTCCTCTGAAAGCTCCAGGGTGATAAGGTGAAATAAGGTAGCTGGAAATGACTAGGTGGAGTGGAAACTGTGGGTTAGCCAGAGATGAAGATGACTTGTAGAGTGGGGAGACAGGGAATGCATGGTGAGGGACAGATATCAAGGTTGGAATTATAGGATTTTCTTGGAAATGCCATTTATTTTCTGATTTTTGTGCAAGGCTCAAGGAGGCTGTACCTCACGTATCTCCATCTGGACCAGGGCTTCTTAACCATTTTGTAGATGTCATGGACCTCTATGGCAGTTTGGGGAAGCCTGTGGAGCCCTTCTCAGAATAATGTTTCTAAGTGCATAAAATAACATAGGATTACAATGGAAAACAATCATATTGCAATACAATTAACAAAATATTAAAAAACAAAAAAAGTTCATGAACCCTTGGTTAAGAACTTGCCACAGAATTTTCTTTGATTCGAAGGAGGGTCACTAAGAGGCAGACACAGGAGGCTCTGGGGGATAAATGATAATAATAGTAATAATGATGATAATTATTATTATTATAGCAGCTAGCACTTTACAAGTGCTATAACACTTTGCAAGTATTATTTTATCCTCACAACAACCCTGGGAAGTAGGTGCTATTATTATCCCCATTTTACAAATTAGAAAACTGAGGCAGACATAAATTAAGTCACTTGCCTAGGGTCATGCAGCTAGTGTCTAAGGTTGGATTTGAACTCAAGTCTTCCTTACTCCAGGCAGCTAGGTAGCACAGTGGATAGAGTGCTGGATCTGGAGTCAGGAAGACTCATCTTCCTGAGTTAAAATTTGGCCTCAGACACTTACTAGCTGTGTGACCCTGGGCAAGTCACTTAACCCTGTTTGCCTCAGTTTCTTCATTTGTAAAATGAGTTGGAGAAGGAAATGGCAAACCACTCCAGTATCTTTGCCAAGAAAACCCCAAATGGGGTCATGAAGAATTGAACAGGACTGAAAAAAACGAGTGAACAACAACAACTTCTTTATTCTAGGCCCAGTACTGTACTGTGCTACTCAGGTATTTGGGCAGACAGCTTGATATCTCAGAAAGAACGTTGGTTCTAGAGTCAGAAGACCTGAATTCAAATCTGCCTCTAAACAATAGTTACAACAATCCTGTGCTAAGTAGTATGGCACAGTGCCTGGCGCATAGTAGGTGCTTAACAAATCCTTACTGTGTTGAATTGAATTATAGATTTTTCTATTATGCCATAGCTATGAAACATCTGGTTGGAGACCAGATGGTGGGGGGGATGGAGGATGAAAACTGAGGCTGAGTTTGACAGGGGAAATGGAAGGTCATCCAAAGAATTCGGATTCTAACTTCTCAAATCCTGACTCCTACCACAGGATCCAGAGCAGGGGCTTTTTTGGTGCTCCTGGCTCCCTTTGGCAGCAGTCCTGTGAAGCCCATGGACCCCTTCTCAGAATCATGGTTGTTGCCTAACTTCCATAATTGAAGGAAATGCTGCATTTCAGTTAGAGGATTAATGAGAAGAGCGAGCTATTTTTTTTCTCCATTCAAGTTCATGGGCCGCAGGTTAAGAACCCCTGCCTGACCTCTATCAACAGATAGATAAAGCACTTGTTAACTGTTTACTATGTCCTAAGCGCCAGGTTTGAGGGAAGACAGTACATAGAGGGAAACTGGAAGAGGAGTTGGGGGAGAAGGGGGAAGAAGTCCAGAGAGTGAGTTGAACCAGAAATGAGTTAAGCATGACTGGGACCCCTCCAGAAGGGATGGTTCCAGTGTAGGGATCTACCGGTGGGTCAGAAGGTATCTTCGGGGTGAGAGAGTTGCTGCTGGTGGTGGTGAAGTCCGGAGAGTGAGTCTAGCTAGGAATATTCCCTGTGTGTATCCTACCCACTCTGAAAGACTGCCACTCCCCCTACCCCAGGACGTGACTCTCAGTATGCTCTGAGACCTACCGTTAAAGCTTAATACTACAATAATGATAGTTCCTTACTTCGCTATAGAACTTCTGACCTTTCACACGTACTGCATCATTGCATCTTTGCAAACAGCCCTGTGAAGGAGGCAAGGCTTATTATGCCCATTTTATAGATGAGAAAACTTGGATCTAGAGAAATTAACCCACCTGCTTCAAAGTAGTGGCAGAGGTGGAACCAGAACCCAGGTCTCTCACCTCCTGGTCAAGGGCACTGTTACCATAATACGCTGCCTTCACCAGGGGGCAATTGAGGGCTGGGGAGAGGAGCCATAAGCCATAAACATTGGACCATTACCCCCCTTTTCCCCTCCCTGTGGCCCCCCGATACTCTTCCTGTAACCAGTGTTTTGAGAGAGCAAGTCTTGGACATGGTTAGGGATGGTTGTTTGTAAAGCACTTAGCACAGCTCCTGGCGCTTAGTAGGTGGTTAATGAAAACTGTTCCTTCCCTTCCCTTGTTCTGTCAGAGTCTCACTGTATGGAGAGTAGGTGGGGGGGTGGGAGTGGAAAAAGCATCCCTTGGATTTGAAGTTGGGGAGATCCCTGGCTCTGTCTCTTTCTGGCTGCATGACCTTCGGCAAATGGTAATAATGCTTGACGTCATGAGGTTGTTTTGGGAAAAGTGATTTGAAAACCTTGAAATTCTATAGAAACGTGCAAGCTTATTTCCCCCAAATCCCCACGAAGCCTCCCCTCCCTATTTCTGCCGATCTTGAATACTTCCTGGCAGCTCTTTGCTAGGTCCCTTCCCTCAGATGTCTAGGGCTCTGAGGCCTGGTCTCTATAGGCATACTGATTCTTTTTTAGTCCCTTTTTATTAGGCCAACCTGTCCGCAAATGTAAGCCTTGTGCTGTAGGGGAGCAGCGGCAGCAGTGGTCTGAGATGAATAACATTGCCTCCCCCCCCCTCCCCCCCGTAGGGGACCAAGTTGGGCGTGTGCATCGGCCTTGGCCTGAGCTAGGTCTGGGCTGTGCATGGGTTAAAGGAGGTGGAGAACTGGGAGGCTGGCTGGCTGGCGTGGAGGAGGAGGCGGTGCAGAGTGGGAAGGGAGACCAAGCGGACGGGTCTCTCTTCTCAGTTGCTCTCAGCTGTGGACCTGGGATCAACTCTGCTCTTTGCCCCCCCCACTCGGCTTCCCCCACAAGACTCCCTCACTCCCTCACTCACCCTCCTCTCATCCTTGGAACTCAGCTTGTCACTAATTCCAGCTGCTGCTGCTGCTGCTGTCCACTCCCCATCTTATCCAGCTCCCCTTCTTCCTGCTGCCCCCTGGAAAACTCCAACCCCAGAGACCCACCCACACCTAGTGGCTCCTCTGCCTGGAAAGGTGAGTGGGCAGGGGGTACAGCTGCCAGAAAGGCAGGAGGGGAGATAGTAGGGCTGATGAGGAAGCTGGGGGTGGTGGCATCAAGGTTAGCCTGGGGAAATAAATGGCTAGGGAAGGTGGGACTGGTCTCTCAGGTCCCAGGTCACCAGGGTGGACAAGTCCATCCAGAGATCAACCTGCTTATTCCCTAGACTCTGGGTGGGACTACCACCTCCACAATATGGAATCTGGATATCTAGGGTCAAGTCTGAGTTCTGTGTGTGTGTGTGTGTGTGTGTGTGTGTGTGTGTGTGTGTGTGTGTGTGTGTGTGTATGCACCAGGGGATGGAGTGGGTGAAGGTGGGTGATGTCTCTGCTCTGAGAGTTGAGGGGAGTTTTGCTGGTAGGGGAAGTTAGTGGTGTCTATGGCTGCTGGGATCCAGCCCAGAAGGAAGAGGGGGGCTTGTGTCATCAGATGCACAGAGGAAAAGATGGGACACCCCCTCCTCTCTACTTGCTTGTTCCACACGGGCCCCAGGGCATGTTTGTGGGGAGAGGAATGCCGGAGGTGCAGTGAATGTCTGCCCCCGACTTATTCTTCCACTCCCACCTCTAGGTTCGTTCCTCCCTTGAACCCTGACTCCTACCCCCGAATCTGGTGTTCCCTCTATTCATCTGACCCACTCTGGGAGAAGTGAGTCTTCCCTATGCTGGGGAAAGGGGAGGAAGAAATTACAGAGAAGGGAAGACAGGAAAGGGTTAAACATAAGCTTCACCTGCCTTTTGCCCAGCTTAGATGCCTGGTTCCCTGGTCCCTTGCCAAAGGGCATGGGCTGGCATGGGGGTGTCCGGCTACCTTCTCTTTCTCCTCCCCTGCCCCCTTCTTTTCCCCTCTGGGCAGAAATGGCTAATCCGAGTGGTTAATGAGCAGCTGCCTTCCAACCCCCTCTCTGCCCTTGCTCTCCCCACCCTCTCCCCTTCATCTCCTCTTCTGACCCTCCAGTGCTCTAGCTCTTACTCACTCCTCACATATTTTTTTTTTTGGCCAAGGAGGCCAGGAGAGAGTTAACCTCAGGCTGGGTGTTCTCACCCCCCCCCCCAACTTGTGTCTCCCCCACCCCCCCATCCAGGGAACAGGGCCAGAGCTGCCCCAGCCCAGATGTTTTTAGGCTAGGTCGATGTTCCTAGAAGAGGAAATTGGGGGGGGGGGTTAGGGGGATGACTGGGAGGAACCCACTAGGTTCCCCCTATAATACACTGGTGTTGAGATTAGAGATAAAGGCTCAGGGATGGGAGGTAAAAGGCAGTGGGGTGGGGTGAAGGGTAGGGGGTTAGAATAAAAGGAAGGAGGCAGGAAGAGTACGTGGTGAGAATCCAAAACCTGGAAAGGAAGGGCAGACAGCTGTTGGGATGAGACTCAAAGCTTACAGATGGCTAGGCAGAGAGTCTGGGAACCAGGATTCCTGGGTCCTTTGGCTTTTTTTTCTCTATCATCTGGGGAATGGAGCTTTCCTTCTCTTTTTCCACCATCTGTGTCAAAGAAACAGGGACTTGGGAGGGTGTGGTGGTAGTGATCATGTTAAAGATGTATCTGACTGAGGTAGGGGAGGATGTTCTCTGGTCAGAGAAAAGGGGTGGGGGATAACCCCTGGGGCTTCTTCCTTGTCATTTCTTTGGGTCCCTTTCCATATACAAGAAAACTTCTGAATATCCTAGGACATGGGAGCATGGAGGGCTTTGGGCTCAATCTTGGTCGTGGGGTTGATTCCCCCCATCCTCCCCTCCACGACTGGCCCCATCACAATAATAGCTCCATTTGCTTCCCCACCCCTTCCCCTCATTTCTCCATCTGAGAATGTAAGATCCTTGCTCATAAGGATTGTCTGATTCTTTTCTATACTGGCACACCTGGTACCTAACAGTTGGCACACGGTGGGTGTTTAACAAAGCCTTATGGGTGAGTTGATCACCTGAAGATTTTAAAACACCTTATGGACAGGATCCCACCCTTTCTTCATCCACGCTGACCCCATTCCCAGGGGAAGAGTAAAGGCCAAAGAGTGCTGGAATGGAGAGGGTGAGAGGCAGAGTTCTGAGACTAGGATGATAGGATGATAGATTTATAGATGCAAGAGGGGTCTTCTGGTCCCCCCCTATCATTTTACAAATGAGGAGATTGAAGCCCAGAGAGTCAATGAGGTCTCTAAGAGCTGGAAGCTTGACTGGGTTCCTGCTTCATTTCTGATCTTTGGACCCCGGGTTCTGATGCTCCGTTTGCTCTGCCAACTGTGAATTGTGGACAGAGATGCAGAAAAAAAATTGGGGTGAGCAAAGGGGGCAAGGAATTTCAGCCTATTTTGTTTGAGTTAGAAGCCCCTATCTCCCACGCCCCCAAGGTAGAGAGAAGACAAAAACTTTTTAAGAGTCTGAGAGTTATAGGGGTTATGATACTGTGGCGGGATCTGCACCTTCTCCTGGTTCTTTAAATATCTGTCCCTCACAATCTTATTTCCTACTTTCTTAATTTCCTGCTTCAGAAACTCTTCATGCCTGTATGTTTTCTTGTGACCCACTTTTCCCTAATTCAGTGTTTCTCGTTAGTGGGGGAGAATTTGTTTAGAAAATATAAATTGGAAGTTTTAATTTGGTTGCTAAAGGGGTGTGTTAATTGTGTGTGTATTCAAGGAGGAGGTTCATATTTTGCGACCATCTTTAATTCCGTGATGGTTGTAACTCAGATGATGTTTACCAGCGGTTATGATCGTCACTGAGTATAGAACAAGAAAAGGGTGAAGGGCAGCACAAGAATGATAGTCTGGATAGAGAGAACTGTCTTACCATGAGGGGTATAAGGAACAGAGATAGGAGAGTCAAATGGATTCTGGCCAGAGCCATAAGTAGCAATTTTGGCACCTGGGTCAAACAGCCCTACTCATGCCTTCAAATCAACTTGCAGTGGGAGAAACCCCAGAACACCAGCTCAGTTGCGTGCAGACTTCAGAATATGTTGGGCAGGCTTCTATTAAAGGAAAGATCAAGGCTTGATGGGTGGGGTGAAGGGTGGAGACAGGGGCTGGGTTCTGAGCTCAGTTATTTCTACCTGCTGACAGAGTATTCATGCTGGACTACTCTCTGAATTTCAGTCCCCTCACCCTTGATGGGGATCTGACTGTAGCAGCTCTTTCACAGGGGATGATATTGAGAAGTGAAGAAGTGATCTTTTGGCCATAGTTTTCTTGTTGAAAATAATATGGTTGGATTTGATAACCTCTAAGATCCCTTCCAGTTTGAAACTCTGTGATTCCCATATTTGGCATCTGTTTCTCAGGAAATGAGACAGAGAAATGAAAAAAAAAAACACCACTTCTCTGAGCCTCAGTTTACTTGTCTATGAAATGAGGGGGTTGTACAAAATGGTCTCCAATGTTCCTTACAGTTCCAACCTTCTCTCTCTCTCTCTAGTGGAGAACAGAATTTTTCTGCCCGTGGTAGACAGATTACGGTCCTTAGATTGGATGCCATGTGGGTAAGATCATAAGATCATAAATTTGGAGCTGGGCAGGGCCTTAGAGACCTTCTAGTCTGTCCTAAACCAACAGATAAGGAAACTGAGGTAATTTGGGGAAGGCAGCCTATATATAAACAATAGTCTCATTAATCTCATGGTAGTTTGAACTGGTGCCCATACCTGATTGAAATGTGCAAGTTTGGGGGGAGGGTGGGTATTATTGCAGGGCAAGACCCCTGTCTAAGTCCACATCGAACCTTTGGGTTCAGACCTGCCTTCTCAACCTGGGCCTTCCCTTGTCTATCCTGGGGAAGTGGTCATAGAGGCTCAGCCCGGATATTAGCTATTGAATACAGGAGATGAGATTGAGGGGGAGGGGCAAGGCAGGAAGATCTTGGGGGTCCAGCAGTTAATCTATCATGCTGCCCCTAGAGTCAGTTTTTCTCTTGAATTTTGAGGGGACGCTGTCAGTATGGTTGTGATGGTCACAAGGCAGCGAGGAGATAGAAGTGACTAGTGTTCTGGACCTGGAGTTAGGAAGACCTGAGTTCAGATCCTGCCTCTGAAACTAGCTTGTGTGACCCTAAGAAAGTCAGTTAGCCTGTCTTAGCCTCAGTTTCTTCATCTGTGAAGTAAAGATAATAATTTCACTTGCCTCACGCAGTTGTTGTGACATGATGGATATAAAGCACTCAATTAAAAGTTAGCCCTATTATGACGATGATCTTGGTGGAAGAGGCCCTTGGAGGTAAGTCCTTTTCTATCTGATTCCGGCTTGCTCCAGGGCAGTGGAGAGGGTCTTTCTTTCTCAGGGATTCTGCCACTTCTCCCCACCCTCGATTGCTTCCCAAACTCTACCGCTCTCCAGCGACTTCTCTGCTGGTCCTCCCTGGCCCCTCCCAAATGGGTGATTATTATAAGCCCAGCACTGAAAGGTCAGTGACTCATATGACGGGTCTTCCTGGGTGGGTCTCTGGCATTCTTTGGGACCCTGTGCTCCACCCTCAATTCCCTTCTTGGGGGCCAGCCTTCCCACCCGTCAGGCCTCCCAGCCTCTTTTTGTCTGATGGCGCATCTTGGTCCTTTATCACGTCCCCTCGTTCCTCCCTTTCATCTGAGGGATGGAGTGGTGAGGCCAGGGATCATCCCAGCTGTCCTTCCATGAAGGGCAGGTGGAGGAATCACTTGTTCTCTGAGATCTGTAGTGAAGGGCTTAAAGATCTTCTAGGGGAAAGTTTCCTTGACATTGAGCCTTAATCCCTTTCACTGCTCCCAAAGCCGTCCCCCCCAGATCTTGAGAACATTCTCTGTTCCTTTGAAGTGGCTAAGATCTTGATGGAAGGGACCCTGGTAACACCTTGTTTTTTCTGCCTTCTGCCTGCTTACGAAAGGTCTCTCCCAGGTTCTGAAGGGGGCTAGGCAAGGTAGGAACTGTTCCTTCTTCCATTAGAAATGTAATAAAGAGATGGGGGCAGGAGAGAGAGACAGAGAGAGACACAGAGATACACAGAGA